TCTTGCTTTCACATTAGTATAAAAAAATCAACATTGTCTGCTAAGATACGCTTTGGTGTGTTGGTCCACATCTGCCTAACCTCTATCAACCTCTCTCTACCAACAACCAAGTCTTATATAATTTTAGTCCAATACACTATTTTTTTCCTATTGGAAAACTACTGGCAGGAATTGACAACTTATAAAGTAATTTAATTGAAACAATATCAATGTTAATGAAAATTGATTAGACTTCCGTGTAATGCTTTTTTCCCGTTGGACGGAGTTAGTTTTATAAAAGTCAATCTCATATCTCGAAGTCTATGAAGATTTGAATTCTAAATGCAGCCGTCATCTGAAATGAAAGTACAATGAAGAAAGGAAAAATGAAGTTTACTAAAAAGATTTTGGCAGTTTTAAATTTTAGTATTACATGACAGAAAATTTTCACTTCCCCTGTCCCAAAATTGATCGAAACCCTTTCAACTCCGAATTCTTCTCCTCTCCTGAACATCACCATTGTTTCTTCCCATTTTAAATGCCTATTCTTCTGTATTTTCTTCCTCTAATCAAGTTAGTGTGTAATAATTCTTCCATTTCGAGCGAACAGCCACCTGACCATCTTGAACAGTTCCATTGCAAACAACCTCCAGCGCAAACAAATGTAAAATCCAGTGAGCTTTAACCGTAAGAAGTCGAAGGATGTAAGACTAGTTTGTTTCTATAGTTCCAGTATAATTTTACATATCCTACGAGGTTCCCTTAATAGCAACATGCAGTTTATTTAATAGAGTAATGTTATTCATTCCCGGTGGGGATGAAAACACAGTCTAGGTAGCGCTAAATGATAAGTGAAATGAAAGGTGAAATTAAATAACTCATTTAATTTCACCTATCATTTAATGCTACATTAGCGCCACCTAAACTGTGTTTTCATCTCCAGTGGGGATGAATTGCATTACTCATTTAATATGGCACCCTGCCGTTTATGTAATTCTGGAAATGTCACCTTGCCATTATCTGGTTTTGAAAATGGATAGTACTAAGTATTACTTTGCGTTATTGTAGATATTTCATATTTGTTTGTTGATTACATGACATAATCGTTTTACTTTTTTATTTCAGAAATGGGACACTAATTTGAGTACTTGATTTCCATTAAAGATAGAATTAAAAGCGGATCTTCACATAGGTGTTTCCTTCAAAACAAGAAAAAAAAAAAGTTTTTGCTATGCATTTCTATCCATAACAGTTTTGAGTCTCGGGGTGGTCTCAATTTCACTCTAAACCCAAATGATCTATCTTAGAACATCTTAGAAGACTTATACAAGTTAAATCAGCTAATTTGTTGAGCATCTTATTTCAAAATTGAAGTATGGAATTCGAATTACTTACCTTCGGTCATGGTGGAACCTAGTATAGTTTACTCATGAAACAATATTGTTGGTTACTATCCAGTAAACTTTTGGATCCATTTTGGTATCAAAATTTAATGAATACTTGCATTCATTCATTTAATATGCATACGAGTTAATGTAAAGTGGAAAAACACAAAACTAATTGAAACGACACCCAATCATTTAAAATGACGTGTCATTTTGGGTCTCTAGGTCTCAAATTTATTCCAAAACTAGTCGATTATGTCATGAAACATTTTAGAAGACTTGTACAAGTTAAACTTCATAATTTGTTAAGTATCTTATCTCATAATTGGATTATACCAAAATTTGAGTCACTTACCTTCGTTTGTTGTAAATTCTAGTGTAGTTTACTCATGGAACAATAATGTTGGTCACTATAGCGTAAATTTTGTATCAATCATGTGTTCAAATATAGTAAAAACTTGCATTCCTTCATTGTCATGTGGATATGGGTAAACATAAAGTCAAACAGATACGAAGTTGGTTAAAACGACACCTAGTCTTTGTGTCTCGAGGTCTCAATTTCACTCCAGAACTATTCGATCATAATTTGTAACATCTTAGAAGATTTGTGTATAAGTTAAACGAGCTAATTTTTTTAGTACCTTTTCTCATAATGGGAATATAATGAATTTTAAGTTATCTATTGAAAGCATGTGCGTTAATTAATTTTAATTAACTAGTTTAGACCCTATGTAATAAGTAGCGGGATTATTAAATTAGCAATTAACAAACAACAAGGCACTTTTAATTGTTTCTAAATTATTAGTCAATCAAGTTCAATTATCCTATAGTTTGAGTGCCACAATTAATAATTAAAGTAGTAAAGAACACTAAAGACGATCACGGAGAAACTCCAACTGGTAAAAACTCCGAACACTTTACCATCAGTAATCACTATAAATCGAAGCAAACATATAGAGCTTGTTTGGTAGGGATTTTTTGGGGGAAAAATTGATTTTGAATAGTGATATGATGGGAAATGTGTGGTTGAAAAAGAAGAAAAAATTATTGATATAATGGAAAATATTATTTTATTGAAAAATGTGTGGTTGAAAATGAGTATTGATTTACTGTAGAAAAATCAAAATCTCTCCCAAACAGGGCCCTATTATCACTGCGAGTTTTTTTTTTTTCTTTTTTATTTTTGTTACAAATCCAAAGTTAAAGACTTAGAGAGCTTGTTTGATAGAGATTTTTGGGGGAAGAATTGATTTTTGAATAGTGATATGATGGGAAATGTGTGGTTGAAAAAGAAGAAAAAATTATTGATATAATGGAAAATATTATTTTATTGAAAAATGTGTGGTTGAAAATGAGAATTCCTACCAAACAGGCCCATAGTACGATCTAGATTTGCCTACCGTATAGAAATTTTGACCTCAATTCCTACAGTTTCTATTGATCCTACTGGAAGTGTACTTCTTCAAAACAAATCCTGACGCTTGGTTTATACCTTAACCTTCTTAGACTGCAAGTTCCTGACACCAGATCCAAACTCCTAATACCTCACTTCTACTTTATAGTTAGAAATTTTTTCTGAAGATTTTTTTGATTTAATACATTGACTTATAAGCAATTATATTTTTATAAAGACAATATAGTAACCAACAACAAAATGACAACTGAAAGCTATTCTTGGATATATTTCACTTAAATTCACCTTTTTTAATTACTTCTAAATTATTATTTACATTTGACTTATTTAGAGACAAACATGCTTTGTTCTTGGTGAACAAGCCTGGTTCTCTCCTTGATTAATTTTTATGCAGATTATGAAACTGGATAAAGTCTTTCATGCTGCTATAAAATACTCTTTTCAAAGGCAGTGTACAGTCGAAGCATATGTTTGGGAAGGGTTGAAAATGAGTGGTGAAAAGTGGATAGTATTTGTATGAAATGTTTGGATAAAAAGTGATTTGACCAATAGTGTGTGAAAAGATAAAATCTCACATCAAATAAAAATGAAAACATAGACCAATTTATAAGAGTCTTGGCCACTCTTCGTAATAAGGTTGACATTTTAAGATGAAACCTTAAATCTTAACATGATATCACGTATCAGAGCCCATTACGCTCTAACGAGCAATTCGATCCTATTAAGATTTTAAAAAATTGAGCACACGGATTTCAAGATTGGTCTGCTCAAACGAGCTACCATCTTGTGAAGGCATGTTAAGAGATAAAAATTCCACATCGAAAAAGATGAAAATATAGACCAATTTATAGAGTTTGGACTACTCCTCCTAATAAAATTGAACTTTTAAAATGGAATCTCAAATCTTAAGATAGTGTTTATCTTCCCAAGCATAGACAAAGTCATACAGCCATTTCCTCTACCACATGCCAATGGGGGCATTCCCTTCAATCTTTTTTCACATTCTTTTCTTGTCTTTACTCTTGGATTTCTGCAGTGCTGTTGATATTTTGACCTCAAATGCAACCATAACCGGCAGTGAGACTCTGGTATCCGCAGGCCAAAGCTTTGAATTAGGCTTCTTTTCCCCCAGTAATTCAGGCAGATGGTACATAGGCATATGGTACAAGAAATTTCCAGATATCATTGTGTGGGTTGCAAACAGGGAAAATCCATTAGGGAATTCAACAGGAGTTCTAACAATCAGCTCTGATGGAGATCTATTTCTCCTGAATGGTACAAGAGGCATTGTCTGGTCATGTAATTCTTCAGGAACAGTGCAAGGGTCAGTTGCACAGCTACTGGAATCTGGGAACCTTGTTCTCAGAAGAAAGGATGATAATACAGAAAGATATATATGGCAAAGCTTTGACTACCCAGCTGATACTCTTTTACCAGGCATGAAGATGGGATGGAACTTGGCCACGGGCATAAATAAGTATTTGAGATCATGGAAAGACGATGATGACCCTTCTTCTGGAGAAATCACTTACAGAATTGATAATTTTGGGATGCCTCAATTTGTTCTTCGCAGGGGATCAGAAAAGATATTTCGGCTAGGGCCATGGAATGGAATTCGATTTAGTGGTTCGGTTATTATGTCAAATACAACTTTCAAACCCAATTTCCTTTATGATGATAAAGACCTGTATTATATGAATGAGTTCGGTGACAATACAGTTATCACCAGGCTTTCCGTAAATCAATCAGGTTTAGTTCAACGTTTTGTACTTAACAAACGGGATTCCTCTTGGACCCCAATGTTTACATCACAAAATGATCAGTGCGATGACTATGGATTTTGTGGGGCTAATTCCATTTGTAAAATCAGCCGCAGACCAATCTGTGAGTGTTTGTATGGATTTGTTCCCAAATTGCAGAGAGAATGGGATTTACTTGTTTGGTCCAGTGGATGTGTAAGGAGGACCCCATTGGATTGCCAGCATGATTCCACTGGATTTATAAAGCTTGGAGGTGTGCAATTGCCAGATCTTGTGCAGTTTTCACTAAACAAGAGCATGACTCTAAAAGAATGTAAGGCAGAATGCTTGAAGAACTGCTCTTGTATAGCTTATGCAAATTCAGATATTCGTGGAGGTGGTAGTGGCTGTTTCATGTGGTTTGAGGATCTGATTGATATCCGAGAGTTTTCTCAAGAAAATCAGCAATATATCCAAATACGAATGGCAGCTGCAGAACTTAGTAAGTATACATCAGATTATTGAATTAATTTAAGTTTCCAGATTTCTTAAAATGAAGCCACAAGGTATAATATTTTTGTATGTTAAGACAGTTGATCAAGCAGAATGTTGTCTGTCCATAATATATTGCACTTTGTTACTAATGCGAACAATAGTATTATATCATATAGTTATTAATGTTCGTTCATATGATTAATTATCTTTTTGACATTCAGATCATAATAAGAAGACAAGACTGGTGCTGATCTTCGTCGGGTCATTAATTTGTGGAATGCTTATCCTTGCCTTGTTGATCTTTTGTCTTATCAAGAGGAGAAAAGAAGAAAGAGGTATGCAAACTTCGTCAATCTCATTTAATTAACGAGTTTTCCACTGATCAATACCCAACTAATTGCTTACAGCATCTGAGAACAATGAGAAAGATATAGAGCTACCAATTTTTGATCTGACAACAGTTACTACTGCAACTATGAACTTTTCTTTAACAAATGTCATAGGAGAAGGAGGGTTTGGAATCGTGTACAAGGTAAGAAAGGACTGTTAATAAATTACTTTTCTGTGATAGAAAATGAGAATGGCTTCATGACAACCCTGTGAATAATCTACAGGGTACATTATCAACGGGACAAGAAGTTGCAGTGAAGAGACTTTCTAAGAATTCTGGACAAGGTCTTCAAGAGTTTAAGAATGAAGTAATTCTGATTGCCAAACTTCAACACCGAAATCTTGTCAGGCTTTTGGGCTGTTGCCTTGAAGGAGATGAAAGGATGCTAATCTATGAGTATTTGCCAAACAAAAGCTTGGATTATTTCATTTTTGGTCAATCTTTTTATCCTCTCCTATCTGACGAGTCAATTGACTTGTACGATTACTTTTATAATGCGATGCTAATATGATTTAATTATGAATAACAATAGCTGATATGTTTCAGATCAACATAGAAAAGCATTACTTACATGGCAAAAGCTATTTGAGATTGTTATGGGCATTTCGAGAGGAATTCTTTACCTTCACCGGGACTCTAGATTGAAAATTATTCACAGAGATCTCAAGACTAGCAACATTTTGCTAGATGGTAACTTGAACCCAAAAATTTCTGATTTTGGCCTTGCAAAAATTTTTGGTGAAGATCAAACTGAAAGCAAAACAGAGCGAGTTGTTGGAACATAGTAAGTGCCACATTAACAACCATTTGAAAAATATGCGTGCATTATACGTGGAACTTAATATTATTTTCATGCAGTGGGTATATGTCGCCTGAATATGCTGCAATTGGGAAATTCTCAGTGAAGTCTGATGTTTATAGTTTTGGAGTGTTGTTGCTGGAGATAGTGAGTGGCAGAAAGAACCGGACATTTAAACATCCTGACCATCATCATAATCTAGTAGGTCATGTAAGTCTATAAATCTGAACTTTACTCCTCTTATCCGATCTTTCTGTGATAATAATTAACTTTCATCTGATTATATTTTAGGCATGGTTATTGTGGAAAGAAGGCAGGGCAATGGAACTAGTGGATGGCATTTATGAGCTATCTTCCAATGAATCTGAAGTGATTAAATGTATTCACATAGGTCTATTGTGTGTTCAAAAACTACCGGAAGATAGACCAACAATGTCATCAGTTGTTGTCATGTTGAGCAATGAGGGTGTGATATTGCCACAACCTAAAGAGCCTGGTTATTTCATGGAGATAAGTTGCACCGGAACAGATATGTCAACGAGTGAAGAAAGATGTCTCACTCATAATGAGGTGACAACGTCCGTGCTGGAAGCAAGATAAAGGATTTCTGTACATGTTGCCATGGGAATGAGTTGAATATAGGAGTATTTTAGAATCCCTAAATCCAAGAATACTGTTTTATCAAAATATTTCATGTGTGCACAGTGCGCCATTGAACTTGTAAGGATTAAAATCAGGTGAGCTGTGCTGAGGGGAAAAAAATATTGACAAAAATATATTAAAAAGTGATTGTCATCAGTAATTGAAAAAAAAAAATGGAAGAAGATATTTCTGAAATCTATTTACAGGACATTTGAGCATTTCAATCAAACATGAGGTACGATTAGTGGCGAGAATTCCAATTTTTGTGATTTTTCTTCTTTTTCGACCATGTTGAGTAGTGATCTATTTTTCTCGCTTTACTTTCTGATAAGTGTATTTTATACACTTATTTGGGATCTAAAATAATAATATTTGATAGTTCTTTTCATAAAATATATCCTATATTCTTGTATTTTAATTTATATAGGTAAAACTCAATAGCTGAACAAGGAATTCAAAGAAAGAAGCGAAAAATTGTGAAAATGGCAAAATTCAATGTTTGAGGATCAAATTGCAAATTCAATAGTTGATTTGGACCACAAGATGATACTTTGAATATTTCTAGGAGACAATTGGGTGGAATTAGAACTCAAAAATGAATGGAATATTATCACAATCAACGTCCAATCACACAAATTATATTCCAGATTTTTACTCGAATATTACAACCCATTTTTGGTATGGTACACGTCTGAATTGAGAAATTTCTATTTCTATCAAAGTTGTATTGAATGGAATATTATCACAATCAATATCCAATCGTACAAGTTATATTCCAAATTTTTAATCGAAGACGTCCGAATTTGGAAAATTATATGTATATCAAAGTTGTAGCTCATCAAGTTATCTTTGTAACACACTTTCAATCGCTTCAATCGGATATGAGACGATAAAGTTATGGCCAAAATACTGACTGCTGTGAGGAGACAAAAAAATCTGTACGCGAAGGCAACTTTCCTTATCCGATTAGAACTCTTTTGGAAATCAATTTGGATGTGAATTTCCACCAATTTTCGACTGCTACAAATGCATAACAGCAGCATACATATGAGGAAACTCTCATGTACATATTATACTCCATTATTCATCAATTATTATCATCAAATGAGAAGAATTCATAGTCTTTGTGAGAGAATTGATGGAGATTTGCAAGAATTCATTTAAGTGAAGATTCAA